TACTGAATGGATTTGGGTGGCAGCAAGGAAATCCACCGATAAGCAATTCTGGGGGCAGGGGGAAAGGTGGCGAGGAGAGACCCTGTCTAGGTTCTTCTGAAACAACACAAATAGGACCCTGGGATAGTAATACTGAAAATTATGTTTTTCCACTCAATAAAGGATATGGGGGTGGGGGTATGGTCTGTATTTTCATCTGTTGAGAAAGACATTCAAAGTCTTGAGTTGGTATGTAACTTGGAGAAAGGTCACAATGAAGATTAAACCAATCTCTGGGGACAGTTTGAAGTATGAGATTGGGAGAATGACCCTGTCGTCTATAAAGGCTACAACGGACACATTATTTACTAGGTCTATAGAAAATGTTTGCTTAGTTATAGACTGGCATGTAGATTCATGAATACTTTATAAAAAAATCTGCCATCACCCAAGGGTCTTAGACCCTTTATTGTGAACCATTAAGATTAGATGATCTCTGGGGTCTTTTCCAGCTTTAAAGTTCTGTGATAGTATGACTGATTTATTTGTTCTATTCCATCAATTCTGCTCCCTGGTACAGACCCTAACGACCTCGCTGTATATGATTGCAATCCCTTGCTGGTTCTTCTCCCTGCCTCAAGTCTCTCTTTATTCCAGCTCCTCTTCCACTCATCTGTCACACTGACCTTCCTAAACCACAGGTTTGACCATAGCACCCTCCATTCAATAAACTACAGTGCCTCCCTGTTACCTTCATGATTGAATATAAAATCTGCTATTCAGCTTTTGAAGCCCTCCATAACCAGGCCTTTTCTTTCCTTTCCAGTCCTCCTATACCTTACTCCCTTCTGTATACCCCCTGCAGTCCAGTGACCCTGGCCTCCTCCAACACAACACTTAATCTCCCCATACTGAATGTCTGCACCAGATGTCCCACCACCTGCAAGAAGACACTCCCAGTCTTCCTTAATCTTAGTGCCTTCTAAGACTATGCATCTCACACATACACACACACACACACACACACACACACACACACACACACAGAGGCCATGTCACCCCCACTAGACTGTGAGCCCCTTTTTTCTCTTAGTATCTTCAGTGCTTAGCTGACTTTGCAACTTCATTTTTGTTTTCAGCTTTTCTCTAGTGTAATCTTTGTCTTTCAGTATTTTGCAATCATTATTTCTTCTTGAGCCTCTTTAAAATTAGTAGGTGTAAATCCTGTGGCACTTGCCTATGACTTTTCTTTTGCAATTGTTGCAATTCTGCTTTAATTACCTTGCATGTCTTCTTTCAAGTCCTGACAGCACACACTTCTACTTTTAGGTTGCCATAATTGGTTTTTGGATGTAGACTGTTATCTTTCTAGATTTGTATTTTATTTTTGAAGTAGTTTGTTGTTCAAGCAGAATCTAAATGTCCAAGCAGAATCTAAATTCCTGTTAGGAATGTTGTGGTGGAAGGTTGGATTAAATGACCTCAAAAGCCCCTCCAGAGATGGAGTTATGGCACTGTGGTAAAGGGAAATTCCCCCAATTGATGTGCACTCCTCTTGTTTTCTTGGCAAAAACAGAAAGCGCTACTATAAATATTTTTGTATACAACCTCTCTCTTTCTAGTCATGTGTACATATCTTCCAATATCATGAAATTAAGAGAACTCAGAAATCTATGGTGTTTCTGGCAAACTTCTGGAACATATTATTTAAAAGGATTAAGGAAATGGTTTGTACACACTTAAAAAGGAGAGTGATGATCACTAAGAGCTAACATGAGTTAATCAAGAACAGGTCATAAAGTTTATTAAACTGATTACTGAGGGGAATGCAGTTTACATATATAGGTTTCTGCAAGGCATTTGACAGAGTCTCTCTCATAATATCCCTATGGACAAGATGAAGTGATGGAAGCTAGGTTTTAGTAAAGTTAGATATATTTGGAAACATGTGAACGGCCAGATTCAGAATGCTGTCTAGCATCTTTCCTTGTCCTTGTTTCTTTCAATCTTTTAATCAATGACAAATCAAGAGATATCTGCTATATTTAATCAAATTTGTAGATAATAGGAAGATGAGAGAGAGTTAAAATAGTAGGCAACGTTATCAGAACACAAAAAAGTCTTGACAGACTAAAAATGGGCTGGGTATAATGAAATGAAATTTAATAGGGGTAAATATAAAATTCCTACATCGGTTCAAGAAAACACTGTATAATTACAGGATGATGGAGGCATGTTTAGGCAATAGGTGATATCTATAAATCATTAAGCATTTATTATGAAGGAGGTCTAGTGGATTGTAAGTTCAATTTCACCTAACAGTATGATAAAGCAGCCAAAAAAAAACCAAACCAGACACTCAAGCTATGTTAATAGAAAAATAGTGTTCATAACAAGAGAGATGATAACCTCAATGTCCTCTGCAATAGTTAAACCACAACTGCAGGATTCAATTCTGGGTGCCATATTTTTAGGACAATATTGATAATCTGGAGAAAATTCAAAGGACAACTTCAATAGTGAGGGGACTGGAAATCATGCCATAATATGATTGGTTGAAGGAATTAGGGAGGTTAAGCCTGGAGAAGAAAAGACTTGGGATCTTTTGAAGACAATACTTGTTTTCAAATATTTGAAGGCCTATCATGTGAAAAGGGGACTAGATTTGTTTTACTTGGGCTCAACAGATACAATCAGGACCAAGGTTTAGAAGCTACAGAGAGGCAGATTTTAATTCTGTATAAGGAACACATTCTTAAAAACTAGAGCTGTCCCAAAGTAGAATGGACCTCCCTGGAAGTAGTTGCCACCTTCCACCCCTCCATTAGAAATCTTAAAGAAAAGGCTGAATAATTGCTTGTTTAGGTGTTATAGAAAAGATTTAATTTCAGGTATGAGTTGGACTAGAAGACTTCTGAAGTTACTTCCACCTCTGTAATTCTGTTATTCTTTCATTATATCTGTAGCAAATGTAATTAAAGTTTTCTCCGTTCTACAAATGAAAATTTAAATAGATCATAAAAAGGAGAATATATTAATTTAATTTTAGTTCTGTTTTCATTTATACTCAGAAACTTATTAATTCACATATTTACAAATATATTTTGAAATAAAAAGTAGTAAAACATAAAAGTCATTTACAGTATTTTTCTTTAGCTCACTCCCCTAATAGGATAACTGAACTTTTTTTTTCCTAAAAAGGGAAAATATTTCAGTAAACTGTGAATTAGATTGCATTGGATTAGTTATGTTATGACCAAAGACCAGTAGAGTATAATTTTTTGGCAGCACTGAAAAAACAAATTAGGAAATTCAGGATTCCATTAATCCTTCCAATAAGAAGAATTAGTATCTGTTTATCTACTTAAGTTACATCTTTTAACTACCATGTAACAGGCTGAACCCAGAATCAGCCTCGGCCAAATGGGATATTATAAAATAATTGTGAATTTCAAGCTTATTTTCATTTGGTTAGGTAAAGTACAACATTTAATTTAAAATAAACAAATGGTTGGCTTTGGTAATAAAAATGCAAATGTGTTTGGTCATATTGTAACTTGTGGTATAGTATTTTGTCTATTTGTTATTTGTACCTTCTTCTCTTTCTGTGCCTTTGTCTGCATAGCTTTTCAAGCCTTCAATGGACTACGCCCCCCCCCCCCCCAATTCTTTTATCTATTGAGATTCCTTCCTTCCTTCATGGTCCAACTCAAGTGCCATCTCCTCCATGAACTGAAAGTGATCTCTCCCTCCTCAAATGTCTTCTAGCACTTTGGGCCTCTCTTTTGCCCATATCTCATTCTCTCTTGTGGACATGTCATTTCCTCCCTAATGGTAAGTTTAAGAAGAGTCTGATTGCATGATCACGAGTTTAAAGTAAGAAGGGATACTAGAAAACCATCTAGTTCAATTTCTTCATTTGACAGGTGAAGAAACTGAGGTCTAAGTAAGTTAAGTGACCTTACTAAAGTCACTGAAATTTTAAGTGTGAGTCGGGGGACTTGTCTTTAGGTCACTGACCCCTCCTTGTACCATGACAGCCACATTGTAGCAAGCGGCACCTTGTCCTGCACATAGCAGGGACCCAATAAATAAATGTCTGTAGAGTGGAATTGCATGTGTCTTCCTCTACTAGACTGTGCATTTCTTGAGGGTGAAAGTTATGCTGATAAATCTTCAGATACTCATAATCAAGAACCAGGTGGGGCACACAGCAGGTGCTGAACCAATGTTTGCTGAACTGAATAAAGAATGTCTTTTAAATATTAACTTATGAACACTATTAACTTAACAAATTGTTCCTTCCTACGACACAGAGAAGGGAGAGGAGAGGATCCTGAGTGTACTCTGGGGCAGAATCAAAGTGTCCTAGATACCAAGGCCCTGGGGGCACCTCCCAAACCACAGAGCTTTACAGTACGGGCTCCAACAGGCATGAAATTCACGTTCAAAGACGGGCCACCCGTCCCCAGTTCAGTCTCAATTCCTTCCCTCCAGCCCCACCCCCATCCATTGAGATATCAATGATACACGTGAAGTCATACAAAACATTATTTCCATATTAGCCACGTTGCAAGAAAAAAATAAAGAAAATGAAAAAAGTATGCGTCAGTCTGCACTCAAAGTTCATGAGTTCTCTCCCTGAAGGTGGACAGCATTTTTCATCACGAGTCTTGTACCTTGACAGGGCCCCGGTACAGGGTGCTGAGCCTTCTGCTGTGAGTCCCATCCATTGGCCAGGAAACTCCGTCACTCCAGCCGCCCGAGTCCTGCCCCATTCTTTCCTCAGAAGGCGGCTTCTTTCTGCATCTGACAACGCCTTCCGCAGTCATTTGAGCCTCCTCGGCTCCCGTCCTAGATAATCTCTCTTTCCCCCTCCCCCGTCCCCCCGCCCTTCCCTCTGCCTCTTTTTCCCTCCGCCTCCTCCTTACACGGTTGTCCCCCCTGCCCCCGCCCCCCCTGCACCTCCTCCTCCTTCTCCATCATCTCCGGGAGCAGGAGCCGCCGCTACGGTCAGTGGCGTAGCCGGACTCTGTGTCTGGGCTAGAGCGAGAGGGACGGGAGGGCCCGAATCGCTGTCACGTCCCGGGCGGGGGCCATGGGGGAAGCGGCCCTGGGCGTTCTCGACGCTGACTGAGAGCGGCTCCCGCTACCGCAGGAGGCGCCATGGACCGAGCCGCCGCAGCCGGGGACCAGGTACGCGGGGCCGGGCCGGGCCGGTCCGGGCGAGCCCCGGAGCCTGCAAAGGCCCGAGGCCCGGTGCGGATGCGGAAAGAAAGCCTCGTTCCGGGGCCGCGTCTGACAGCTCCCTCTCACCGGGCTCTCGCGTAGTCCCGGGCGGGTTCTCCCCGCCCCCTCCGCACCCCACCCCCGCCTGTGCCCGCAGCCCCTTTAGTGTTTCCGACCCTGGGCCGGCCGGAGGGTGGGGGGCTCTCCGCGCCCCCCGCCCCGAGGGTTCTACTTGGGGGGGGCGGGGTCTGACAGCTGGTTTGAGCACCTGCGTGATTCCAGGTACTCTCCCCCACTCTGTGGGTTTATCCTCCCAGCCCCCCACCCCCACCCCCAATAGTGTTGAGCTTCGAAAGGACAGTCCGAGGGATGTGTCGTCTGAATGCAGGCACACGTGAGAAAGAGGGCATTTCAGCGGAGGTGTCCTAGAAAGAAATGTCAGTCTGGGGGATACCTGCACCCAGGTGCTTGCAGGTATTTTAGGTGGTCTTGCGGTCCACCTCCTGCTTAGTGACGGCCCCTCGCGCTCCCTCCTCCCCCCCCCCCGCGGGAGAGCAGGTACGGACTCTAAACAGGAGGGAGTGTAGGGCACACTTAAAAAATAGATGCCTAGATATCTTGTTCTAAAAGTTCGGGGTGGGGGTTTGTAAAGAGATGGACCATTCAGCGAACCAAATTAATTTGTTAGTTGGTTGTTTGTTTTTTTAATTAAATCCGAGAAGGACTTACTTTGGTTTGGTTTATTTGTTTTTATTCCACAGTCTTGATTACTAGTTGCAGAGCGATGATAGTGACTGGTTGACAGGAACAATGGAAATGCACAGTCCAAAAAAAAAGGGGAGGGGGTTTCTGTCAAAAGTTTTAGCCTTTTTTTTTCTCCCTTTCCCAGAACTTTCTACTAGAGCTGTTAACGAGAAGCAAATTTGATAGATAAACTTCGTTTCCACCCGTATCTTTTGCTGAAGTCCTTAACTAGTTGATGAAATGGGTAATAGGATGGAGAAAGAAGAGGAGAGATTCAATGTGGATCTTTCTTGGGGGAAGGAAAGCATGAGGCAAGTTAATAGAGAAAGGGATTCCCAACTTTCCTAGGACTTTATGATCTAGGCTGTCTTCTCGCTCTTCTCTTCCTCTCCTCCCTTTCTTTCTCCCTCTCTCCCTCTCTTTTCCTCTTTCCGATCCCTCTCTCCCTTTCTTCTCTCCCCCTCCCTTTTTGTCCCCCTCTTTTCTCTCCCACTCTTTCTTCTCTCTCTCCCCCTCTCCCTCTTTCTTTTCACTTTTTCCTCCTCTCTCTTCCTCCCCCTCTCTTTTTTCTCTCCTTCCCCCTCTCTCACTTTTAGATGTGTATATACACACACATGACTAAAAACATGAATGGATTTGGTAGAATATGGAATTATGTAAGGGAATATTCATAGAAAAGGGCTTTGGCAAATATATTTTGTGTTCTGTTAACCTTGTTAATACCTTTGCCTTAATTTTTGTGGCTTGTTTGACTCAAGTCTGAAAGAAGTGTTTATCAAAGATGGCTGACTTTTTGAAGTGTGACAAAATAAGAGATTGTTGAACCATTTCCTCGTTTATAGGTGTAAGCTAATGAGAGGGTTAAATATTTTGGTTATTCACCAGGATGCCAGAGCAGTAACTAGTAATGCTAGTGTGTACTTAAAGTCCCTTTCATCCTAAAGGAAGTGCAATTAACCATTTAAACAACAACTTTTAACATAGCTATTTAATTGAATGTGGTCATCTTTGTAACATGAAGTGTATGAGGAAATAATTTCTGGTGAAGGCTGGAGTGTTTGTATTCTATGTGTGTGTTTATCTTTCTACCTAAAAACTTAGTTGGTTCTTTTCTTGATAAGTATTCTCTTAATTCTCTATCTAGTTATACTTGCCTGTGATCTCTTTGCTTAATGTAAAAGAGCATGTTTAACAGTTTCTGATGAGGGATTTGGAGTAAGTGATTTCTAAGAACATAAACTTATTAGTCATTAAAAGTACTGTGATTCTGTAAATAATGGTAATTGTGATAATGACTACAGCATTTGGAAGAGATATTACATACTAGAAAATAATTCTAGTAGTTTTTTAGATACTTTTATATAAAAGCATATATTTTAATTGTAATTGCCAAGAAAATCAGGCAGATTTCTAGATTTCATTTAAGTGTTCTAGGAGCAGTAGGTGTAATGTGTAGCTTTTTCTTGAAAAAAGTAGTGTGAGGAGAGATAGGAAGAATTAGTAACTAGATTTTATTTTATTAAATGTTTGATTTCAAACATGGCAACAAAAATTGCAGATCATAATCTATTACACACAGTGAAAGAAATCTTCTTGTTTCTTGAAATTGAAGTATTTAACCAATTTATTTACACAGACATAAGAACTGAGTACATAAAGTTCAAAAATTGGCCTGCTTTCCAGTGAATAACTAATGGAGAATTCTGTACTTAGAATTTGTTGACTATTTTGTTACTTTCTAAGAATTAAAGAAAGCAATAATGCCATGAGGTGTATGTATGCATATGCCAGGAATTATAAGGGAGTGGAATTTCTTATGATGACTTCCTTTTCAAAATAAGTTTTCATAATTCCCAATGCTTTAAAATACTAATAACATCATTAATGATGTTAAGCTACCCCAAAATGAGTTCATTTTTAAACTGTAGAGTTAGGGTAGCCGATATTGGCTTCTATGTCTGAATATAAAAGTAAATGACACAAATTTCAGGACTGTTCTGTCGCTGTGTCAATAATTAGTAAATACTAATAAATAGTACTAGTAAGTAGTATGTATATATGCTGTACTACATCCCATATTTTATTTGAATTGGATTAGGTTATGTCTACTTAGTTTTTTTTTTTAAAGCAAAAAAAATCAGGTAAATAGGAATGCAAATGGGTAGGAAAACTGATTGTTAACAAGTTAAAGTTTCAGACTTTGATTTTTCTAAATGTGTTCTGAAGTCTTGCAAAATTTTTACTTCAGACTAAAGTTATTCCTGTAGTTTGTTTTGGCAAGTGCTTTATTTAGTCAGTGTAAACATTTTGAGTAAATCTCCAGGCAGTTAGGAGGATAGCTTCTGGGATTTTCTTGAGTACTCTTTACTTCATTATATCACAGTTTCCTTCAGAATGTACTTTTGGCTACAGGAGGCAAAATATCTTAAAGAGTGACGTCAGTTTCCATTCTGAGATGGACAAAATCCAAAGTGTTTTTCTGATCTGACTTTTTTCTTTTCCTTTAAGTGGGAGATACAATTTCTTCTGAACCTTCATTGTGAGACAGTATTATTATTTTCTAATGTAGACATTTAGACTTAGTTTTACATTGTTTCGTATGGAGGAAAAGTCTACCTTCTTTTTTGGTAATTTTATCACCAAAAAATGTGCAATTTAGATTATCAACAAATAATAAATATGTAGATGGTATTTATCCCCTCCCACAGCAGGCCTAGCATAGCTGCCTCAGTAAACACTTAATGAATTTAAGTGGGCTCTCAGTAGTCCATTGAATATGTTTGAGTAGACTAATGAAATAGGTTTGAAGTAAGACTTTTACCTCTTTCTGAATTCTCAATTTTAGGGGGTGGTAACTTGAATATGCTAGCTGCAGAAACAATGTAATTAATAGCCTCTATTTCTGTAATTTCCCTCTACGATAGTTTACAATGAAGAAGTGAATAAACTCCCTAATGTACCTACTATAGGTGTAATTATATGGACATAATTTTTGCAGTGATAATTTTTAAATTATGAAATAATTTCATTTAAGGTATACTGAGTCTGAAGAACTTTGGAGAATGAAAGATAATCTAATTTCATAGTTGATTTTTTTTTTTAGATAACTTAAGGCAAAAGTATAATTTAGCATTGGTCTTACTAGTTTTTTCCCTGGATGCATTACTGTATTTTTAGAACTGTGTTTGAAAGAGTCAGATTCTTGATGTGAGATTTCTGATGTCTGAAAAATAGGTCTTGAAAAACAATGACTTTTCTCTAATCTCTAATTAAAACCCAAATTCAAATATCTAGTAATAAAACTAAATTTTAACATAACTATATAGCATGTTCCCTTACATTCCCATAGCACACTACATTTTCTTGCTAGCTTCAAAATTTTCCTTTTCACTTTCAAACAAATGTAAGTGGATCATTTCTCTAGTTTTCTCTAGTTTAGTGCTATAATCACTCCCAACATATTGTTTGTATCTGCTTTATCAAATTGTGGTATATGGGAGAACAATTAGAAATTTTAGTGTTGCTTTCCTGATCTCTGGGTTGGGGGAGGGGAGATAATGCATTTTAATTTGAGATATGGAACTTCCTAAAAACACAACAAACAAGATCTTTAAAAAAACTATCCAGTGCTCTAACTGTAGAATATAGTTTACCAGTCTGTTCCTGCTAGTGACATCTTCTGTCTCTGCAGCTGGTGATGACTACAGTAGCTTTCTTCTAGGCAAAGAACAAAGGAGTCATTTATATTTATTGTTATTTTAATTGTTGGAATGAAATATATAACTAGTACTATTGAAAAAAGCATATCAAATCAAAGGAAAAACAAGCTTAGAACTGAATAAATATGAATTTTCTTTGCTTGCAAAAAAATTTGTTGTAAATTATACGTGTGACCTGTTGAGCATTTCATTGATCAGGTTGGTAAAAGTCTTATAAAATGTACTTTGGGCACCACAAACTCAACTGAGTGAGAACTGTTTCTTAAGTTTTGAACTGAACAAGGCTTTAACTGCAAATAAAAGAAATAGTTTGAAGAGATATATATTTTTTGTGGAGAGATTACTACCATTTATATTGATTATTTTCATTTGGGAGTTTTGTTTTTATTAGTTTTTAGTATTGCTAAAATATAGTTCATTTGATCTGGAAATATTCCTTGCTTTAAAAATACATTAATATACACAAATGCAGATTTACCAAACAGTCTTGTTAGATTATCATTATTCACTTTTCAAAACAATTCATTGTTTTGCAAGAGGGTTTTAAACATATTTCTGGTTTATTAAACAGTTTGTTTCTTTTAAAAAATTATTTAAACACAACTCGGCAGGAACATGTGCATTATCAAAGCAGACGGAACCCAAATCTTTAAATTTCTTGTTCATAGGAGCATAAATTTGGAATTGGAAAGGACTTTAGGAGTTGTCTAGTTCAATTAGAGATGAGAAAACTGGGGTTAAGAGAGGCTTTGGTGACTTCGGAAAGGTCACACAAGGTCTGACAGTAAGTAGAGACAGAACTTGAAGCCAGGTCCTTCAGCTCCCATATCTACTACTTTTTCAACTGTATTTGAAGACATGACATTTTTTTTTGAATTTGGAGAAACTTTCAATTATTATAATAGTCCCTTGCTATCTGTTCGTTGGTGAGCCATTTGAGGCGTTTCTCCTACCACTTAAAATTCTATTGGTAAGAAGTGCTAACTTTTTGGACGATAGTTTGGGAGTGACATTTTGCTCTCTGTTTACCTAAGGTTAAGGTAAGCTGTGGTTTAAATTTTGCCTTCTTAAAGGTCTTTATTATTTTTATTTTTATTTAAAGTTTTTTTATTTTTATTTAAAGTTTTGAGTTCCAAATTCTATCCCTCCCTCCATTCCTTAGGATGGTAAGCAATCCGATATTGGTTATACAGGTGTAATTATGTAAAACATTTTCATACTAGTCATTTTGTACAAGAAGACGCGAATAAAAGGGAAAAAAATAAAGTGAAAAATAGCATGATTCAGTCTGTATTCAAACAATATTGGTTATTTCTCTGGAGGCAGATATTCACCATTAGTCCCTTGGTATTGTTTTGGATAATTATATTGCTGAGATTAGCCAAGTCATTCACAGTTCTTCATTGAACAATATTGCTGTTACTGTGTACAATTCTCCTGGTTCTGTTCACTTCACTATGCATCAGTTCATGTAAATTTTTCCAAGTTTTTATGAAATCATGCTGCTTGTCATTTCTTATAACACAGTAATATTCTATTGTGATCATATACCACAGCTTATTTAGCCTTTCCCCAATTGATGGATATCCCTTTGATTTCCGATTCTTAGCCACCACAAAAAGTGCTGCCTTACATATTTTTGTACAAATAGGTCCTTTTCCCTTTTTTTGAATGTCTTTGGGATATAGACCTAGCAGTGGTATTGCTGGATCAAAGGTATACACAGTTTTATAGCCTTTTGGGCATATTTCCAAACTGCTTTCCAGAATGGTTGAATCAGTTTACAACTCCACCAACAGTACATTAGTGTCCCCATTTTCCCACATCCCTCTCCAATATCCAACATTTTCCTTTTTTGTCATATTAACCAATCTGATAGGTGTGAGGTGGTACATCAGAGTTGTTTTAATTTGGATTTCTCTAATCAGTAGTGATTTACAGCATTTTTTATACGACTGTAGATAGCAAAGCGTTAATATTATATCTGCTTCAGTTACTTGAGAGTGTTAGGGAGAAGAGCAAAATTGAGTAAGGAGCTTAAAGACTGTTAAGGAAAAAAATATCAATTAATGGTGTGGTTTTTTGCTGTTCCTTTTTTTAAGTAAATACTGTTTGAATGTTTTACAGTAGGTTAATAGATTTAATAGTAGGTAAATATTTAAGAAAGAGGAATGTGATCTATATCAATGTCAATTACTATTTGTATTAATTAACATGGTCTTTTGATAATTGCAAACTGGTTTTTAGAGATTATCTTTTGAAATTTACAATAATCCTATTAGATACTACAGGTGCTTTTCACGCCCATTTTAAGGTTGAAGAAACAGGCTCGTAGATATTAAGGGGCCTCATAGTTAGGAAGTGTCAGAGGTAGGACTTAAACACATTTCTTCACTCTGCTGCTACTCGATTACAGATTCCTATGCTTTGTACAGGGACTTTGTAATATTTTTTTGACAGCATTGCCTGACACTAACTCATAATGGTGTTAAGAAGTCTGTGCCATGTGGGTTTTAATAGCTAATGACAGGGGCAGCTCAGTGGCGCAATGGGTAGAGCACCGGCCCTCAAGTCAGGAGGAGCTGAGTTCAAATCCAGCCTCGGACCAAACACTTGACACTTAATAGCCGTGTGACCCTGGGCAATTCACTTAACCCCAGTTGCCTAAAAATAAAAAAAATAATAATAGCTAATGACATTGTAAGTCTGGTTTTCACAGATTTTTAAAACCTTAAGCTTTTCATCTAGGTCTTTGAACTTTAAAAAAATTATATTTCAATATAATTGGTTTCCTTTGTGATCCTATATATATATATTCTTTTATGCTTTTTGAAACATTATTCTGAGAAAAGGTCCAGAGGTTTCTCCAGACTGCAAAAGGGGTCTCTAATTAATAATCTCTGACCCAAATGAATTAAATTGATATCAAGTAATAGGTGCTGAAATTTTTTCTCTCACAAATTTCATTGAAATTTTGTGGCATAAAATTTTTTGTGATTTTATAATTGCTGAAGATTTCACATTCAAGTTTATGAGCTTGATAATCAGAATTTTCTTACAGTAATGTAACATTAAATATTCTAAAATGTGTATTGTTACATTAGTGACACTTTGCCATTCAAAGAAAGATATTGTATTTGAATTTATCCGTTTTTTTAGAAAAAAAATTTAATATAAATTATATATTTTTTGAAGTTTTAAAATTTTTATACTGAATTCATCTTCAGTTTTCCAGCAGTTTTTATCAATTTAAGAAAGTTGTTTCTTTGTGTTAAATATTTAGGTTTTATTTCAACTTAGTTGCTTTCTTTTGAGTTAAATGTCTATATTGTGTATTGAAATCTTAATGCATGCTTTTATATTTTTGAAGTAACTGTTTTAGCCTTAATCTGAATGCAAAAGGCAGAAATTAGTAAAGCCCAAACTATTTTGTCTGTGGAATTAAATATCTTACTACCAAGTTTATTTATAGCCTCTGAAGTATGACTTCCTTGTATTCTTGATTGCTTTAACAGCTTTGGTTGCGCAAGAAGGAGTGATTTCATTGAAACTTGGTAACCTTTTATGCACTTTCTGTTGTTTTAATTGATGGTTTTGTATGAATAACTTGGTTGCTGTTCAGCTATTTTAAAGTGACACAACTGTTTTCTCTTAAATGTTCTGTGAAGGTTCTGAATAAAGAGAATTCATTGCTATTCTGAAAGACTTTCTCCTCTGTCAAATTTGTATTGGTTTTTACGTTTCTTTTAATCAGATATTAATTCATTTTTCTCTTTTTCTCTTAAGAATGTCAAGCTGTCTGCCGAAGTAGAGCCATTTGTTCCTCAGAAAAAGACTCCTGATACACTTATGATCCCAATGGCACTTCCAGGTGACAGTGGAAGTGTGGGTGGAGTGGAACCAGCTCCAATTCCCAGCTACCTGATAACTTGTTATCCCTTTGTGCAGGAAAACCAGTCTAATAGGTACTTTTGTTGTGTGTGTGTGTGTGTGTGTGTGTGTGTGTGTGTGACTTATAACATTGGCACTTTTTCAGGTTCATAAAAATGACTGAAGAGCCTTATAGAATTAAACCTTTGCTTAAAGCTTGAAAAATCAATTTTTAAAAGTATTTTTATATTATGAAGTACAAACAGACGTGTTTCTGTGTGTTTGTGGATATACACCTCATGTTAAAGTGATGACCACAGGAATGTTTTTTCATCATTCCATGAAATTCTTCAATCTTGTTTAGATTAAAAATTGAATTGATGAGAGGAGAGAAATGAAAGATGCAGGAAGAAGCCAATAAAAACTTCTTGGGTCTATATTCTATTAATCCTACTAAGATAAGTTTTAATACAATGATAAATTATTCCCAATCTTTGATTTAGCAATAAGATCTTGTATGACTATTTAGCATTTATTTTCAGTCAGAAAACATTTATTACAAGCTCTAGGTATTGGGTGCTAGTGCAATATTTACTTTTCAATCAACTATTTTATAGTCTAATGATTAGAACTTACTTGTTTTTGAATCTGTATAGACTTTTCTAGTCATAACTAGCAATGTAATTGCTACTTAATTTGTCCATTTATTACACAAAATATGTGAGCTGTGAAGACGGTAAATCTATACTCCAGAAATATTACACACTCAAGTTAATTGTCCCCAAATGTTCAAGACTCTTAGATTTTGAGTATTGTTGAGCTGGCTGTATAATGGGGTCTGAAGGAATTGTTTTGGTTGGGATTTTGCTAGTATTTCATAAATGTTACTGAGTAATAGAAGTAACAGAAAACAATATTAAAAGAAATAACAGAAAATTAAGGACAGCATTTAACTTTTCCTTTGATGGGATGTATGTTAATATAGTCATTTACATGTGATAGCTTTTCTGGATTTCAGTTAACTTTTGACAGCATGTATTTTGTTTTTATTAAGGGAATTGTTTTTAACAACGTTAGCGTATTATCCTGGAGAATTCATAAGCAAAAGAAAACCTTGTTAATATTTTTGAAATTATATTGAATAGTAGTTTTTTTTAAAACCCAGTGTCTTTTATGTATGCATATCTCCTATGTGCTTGCATATCTTCTATATTTGGGGAAGTAAAATAAAGAAAAAAAAAGATTTTCTTTATAACGTTCTCTCTTTTCCTCTTCTAACATCTGCCCCTTGCCTTCTTCCCCCCCTCGCCAGCCACCTTGTTTTATATGAAGTCCTGGACCTAAGCCCCTTGCACACCTCATCAGAAGAGTCCTTGAAGAGGTTGTAAATATAAAATAGGAGGCATATCCCTCTTCCTCCGTTATATTTGAGAACCTCCTAAGTGTGCCCTACTGAGATTAGTGCTACTGGAATAGTCAGGCTTATTGCTTTTGTTTTTACTTCTCTTCTTGCACTTAGGTAGCATTTCTGTTGCTAGAGGAGGGAAGTGGCACTCAAGAGAGTATCTACCCATGTTATTAAGGAAGGAGTATGAGAAAGGAGTAAAAAAGCAAAAGTAGAATCTTATATGATGATCTTTATATGATGACCTTAGCATAAGTCTTTACAGAATACTGCTACAACTTTTGGAATTTGTTGGGGGTGGAGGGTGCTGTCATTGGTAGATCTAATAGTGAGTTGCTTAAATAAAATTTTATTTCCTAGATTTTAAGATGAAAACTGTGAGAACTCAAGGAAATTGTAGGCTTAAGTAAATGTGGTAGATTCTGTTCAGTATTTTCTGATGCAGTTGAACTCTGTTAGAAACCATACTGGATTTATGTTTAATACAGAATAAATCTTTTCACATATATATAACATTTGAGTCACTAGAGCAAAGCAAGGTAAACTTTATTGCCCATGATAGCATTACCAGAAGGTTCTACTGAACTATTTTCTTTTTCATGATAGAAAAAAATTTCTTGTTTTTGCTTTAGATTTTAAATTTAGACCAAAACTTTTAGACCTTAAACATGATTTTTTAGACTTGTTTATTTAATAAATTTGTTCTCTTTTTCTATTAACTTTACAGACAGTTTCCACTATATAACAATGACCTACGATGGCAGCAACCAAATCCAAATCCTCCAGGGCCATACCTTGCTTATCCCATTATATCTGCTCAGCCACCTGTTTCTACAGAATATACATACTACCAGTTGATGCCAGCTCCATGTGCCCAAGTTATGGGATTTTATCATCCTTTTCCTACACCTTACTCGAGCACCTTTCCAGCAGCAAATACTTTAAATACTATTCCCACAGAATGCACAGACCGTCCAAATCAACTTGGACAAGTCTTTCCACTGTCCAGCCACAGAAGTAGAAGTAGTAACAGAGGTCCTGTTGTGCAGAAAGTAAGTAACTTCCTTGACTTCTTTAAAAGTGTGAATATGTTTTGTTATTGTTGGTGCAAATAACTTATCATTTGCTGTTTTAAACTATATTAAAGAATGTAGGGGCAGCTAGGTGGTGCAGTCAATAGAGCACCAGCCCTGGAGTCAGGAGAACCTGAGTTCAAATGCGACCTCAGACCCTTCCTACTTCCTACTGTGTGACTCTGAGCAAATCATGTAACCCCAATTACCTCACTAAATAAAAAAAATATGTAGGAAGTGAAATCTTTTGAAAGGCCCTTTTGCCATGATCCAGGGCAAATATCAATTGTTTCAGTTTTTGTCTGATTTTTGTCAGTGTAGGTACTTCTGCCACCATCCCAAAGTCTAGCCTCTCTGTGACTTGGTTGATAGTTTCTGAGAGTTCATTTGGTGGTGTCACCAATCTGGTGATGCACCTTTCCAAATTTAGCTAGACTGGTCCTTGGACAAAAGACATATGTGTTGTATCATGTACAAGGACAAACAACATTTATTAAATTTTTTTCTCTGCCTTTCAGTTATTTTCAATAAACTCTTTATGAGTACTTTTTCATTACCTCTCATAGTCTTTCAAATAAATTTATGTAATCACAATATCCTTGTGCTTCCAAAGGATTTAAATGTAATCACTTGGAAGCAATTATTATGCTTAGGGTCATGCTAAGCAAAAAAAATAAATATTTTACACACTATTAATGCAATTTGCTAAATTTAGTAGTGAGAATTGGAACTTAAACAATATCTGGGATTCTGAAAGGTGCCTGACTGGCACCCATATCTGCTGTGATTGGTTTTTTGTTTTGTTTTGTTTTGTTTTTTGGTGAGGCATTTAGGGTTAAGTGACTTGCCCAAGGTCACACAGCTAGTAAGTATTAAGTGTCTGAGGCTGGATTTGAACTCAGGTCCTCCTGATTCCAGGGTCAGTGCTCTATCCACTGTGCCACTTAGCGGCCTCTTGTAATGTTATTTTTATGAATTTCTCTCAAGTTCTCTTTCACTCTTAGGTTGATTCTGTTTATATTATTGCATAGAATTGGAAAAAAAATTATGTTGTATAAAATGCTGGACAATATAAGTAAAGAAGCATTTCTATAGCTGCTATATATTGGGAATAATATATTTTCTTCAAAGTTTGGCTACAAAAGTGAATTTTGTTAACATCCTGTTTTTCTCATTTATTTAAATAAAAATTCCACCGTATTTAGCAGAAAATAAATTTTCCTAAACCTTAAAAAATGAAATCAAACTTAAGAATGTTGAATAACCTTTCAGAGAAAATCAGGTAGTTTGGGACTAATGTCTTGCTTATTTCTTTCCCTTCTATGCCATCCTGAACTACTCCTTTTGGTCCAACTTTTTTTTCCCATCCCAAGGATTAGGTTTTTGTCTTTTCCTTCTCTTCTTATATATTCCATCATCTGTGGTTACTCATCAGTTAGAGGTAGTTCAGGTTGACCTTCTTTATGGGTCTGTTTAATGTGCATAGTAAACAGACATCTGCATGAAGACGTTGGATACAGCCACTAAGAAAAGTTTTTTCCCTTTTTTTTAAACTGATGATAATCATTAATAGTATTACTCAGTATTAACAATACCATAGAATCATCCCTTCTAGGTACAACTTAGAGTAGCTTCAAAATGAAAATTTAAAGCTGGCTAGCAAGTGAGTAGGGAGGATGAGTCATTTACTCCATTTATGATCAAGACTAAAGATAAATGCTCAAGATAGTCTTTTGAAACAGAACAGTTCCTCTCCCTTTCTTCCCCCACCCCCACTTTTGACTAAATATCCCTGAATTAATGAAGTCCTTGAGAGCATAAATGAATTTGTTGAAGCTAAGTTATGGCAAACAAGACAACAAATTCTGTTTTAAGGCTTTTTAGCTGAAGGATACTTTCCTATCTTGAAGCCATAATTTTTCAACTGGCAAATAAAAATTCTGTCCTGCTTAGTCACTGGGAGTTGAATAAGAACTAGAAGCCTAAAAGATGACTTTTCAGTTGCCATGTCTATCAGCACAGCAGAGAGCCAGTACTTTCTCCCTGACCCATGAAAAGACTTGCCATTTGTTACAGTGTGCTTCGGGGGGGAAAAAAGTAGAAACCAGAAGTAGGCAGTTGCTGTAAAAAAAAAAAAACCAATACACATTGGGTCTGTCTCTGTCCCAAGTAAATCTACATTGCATTGATAGTCATCTGTTTGGAATTTCTAAGGAATGGAAGCTGTGAGATAGTAGAAATAAGGTGAGAGCACATGATGCACACATTCCAAAAAATGAGAGAGGCTATATTAGAGAGGATTAATAACTAGGCTTAGTTCCTTAAATTCAAAATTCTATCAAGTCGGTTATTGTTAAGCAAAGAATAGCCATATAATAGGAATTCAGAGTTTTCCTTTTTTTTTTCTTTTTTGGCAGAAAACCTTTTATGCTTTTTTGTTCTCAGGAGAAAATTCTTACCACATGATAAGTATATTTTAGTAAAACAAAAAGTCAGCTTCTTGGTAAAGGTGATCTGTTTTAATATTAGATCATAAGTTTCTGTGTCAAGTACTTAGTATAATAGAATTTTGTAGTTAAAAGGGGATGTAGGAATTATCAATTAATTATTAAGGAACCCTGACTTAATAGTGACTTAGAAAATCACAAAATAGCTTTATGTCATATTGTCTTTTTATTTATTCTGTTAAACAATGCATTTTAATCTGGTTAGCACTTCAGAGTTTTATGGGCCTCCAACTTGACACCTCTGATCTAGTCCATTCTCCTCATTTTACTTGTATTTATTTTCACAGTATTATTTTATTGAAGTAGTATATTATTTTTTCAATTTAAATCAGCAGCAGCAGCTTTTACAGCAACATGTAAAAAGTAAAAGGCCACCAGTAAAAAGTGTAGCTACTCAGAAAGAAACCAGTGCAGCAGGACCTGATAATCGGTCAAAAATTGTGCTTCTGGTGGATGCTGCCCAGCAAACAGGTAAGAGAAGGGGTACATGTGAAGGTTCTAGACTTCTGAAGGTGGAATCTTAGTTTTAAAAATTGCTGATGTCATTTTTAAAGTATATGGTAAAATAATACTTTACTATTATAGAAAACCTCCCCATTTTTCCCTTATTTTGGTCTGCCAGTTTATAAAATTCCTTGGAAGTAGGGAGTCACAATCTGTTTCCTTTATTTTTTAAACTTATTTCCTCCATTGTCTGTACAGATTGTTTTGTTATTTTAAGGTGGTTGTTATGTACTAGGCTTTTGGCACTGACTTTTTTTTTTTTAAAGAACCATTGGTTTATATAAAATTTTAAATAATGAAATTATATTTAATTTCTTTAAAGGAAAAATAATAAATTGAGACATATGGTTAGAAAATTAGAATTGGACCAGATTGTGAGGAATTTTAAATGTCAAAGAGGGGTGTTTATATTTTATCCTAAAGAAAATAGAAAGCTACTAGAGAGTATATTGAGTAGAAAGGGAGTGATGTAGTCAAACCTGTGCTTTAGGAAAATTGCTTTGGCAGCTGTGTGGAACATGAATTGGAGTCTTTATCTGAGGCAACAAAACCAATCAGAGATTTGAAAAGACAGAAATTAATATTTTCTCTGATTTCTACTGCATTGATTTTACAATGTAATGATTTTATACTCTATTGATTTTTATAATGATTAGCATCTGTTCAAAATGAGGTCTCTCCCAGTCCTAAGAGTAAAAAGGAAATGAACTCCTGCAACTAGCCCCTGGGACATTTGCTTGCCTTGCAGTTTAACCTGGGACTTCTGTTTGTTGTTTGTAAACAGTGGACCAGCTTAAACTGGAGCCCCTCCCCATGGACAGTTCTTCGTCCTTGCCCTTCCTTGTGCTTGTAGGGATGGTTTGATCTCCCCCAAGGGGACAACTAAAGAGGGCTGATTTAGGTGATTTTTATTTTCTAGTGAAGATTGCTAGTGGTAGTTGAGGCCCATAAAGCAATTAGCATGCCAGTTGCTGTTCAAGGGAAGTATGTTCAGCCACACCTGAAGGCCAACCCACTTTTCCCGCCTTTAGTCAATCCTAAGGCTCCCTAACTTTCCCCTTTCCTGCATCTCAAAAGAAATGGTCTTTCCCAGGGATGGGAAAACTGTAGCCCCAAGGCCACATGTGGCCTTCTAGGTCCTTGAGTGTGGCCTTTTGACTGAGTCCAAGTTTTACAGAACAGACCCTTTTATTAAGGGGATTAAGTTTGGATTCAGTCAAAGGGTCACACTTGAGGACCCAGAGGACCACTTGTGGTCTTTAGGCCAAAGGTTCCCCACCCTAGTCTTTCCCTTCTCGTTAAGGGAGGAGCAGTGGCCTTTCTGAGGGGGCCAGTCTGACCTGCTATGTTAACAGTTTATATGCATCACTGTTAATAAACCTATTGTGCTTGGAGGGAGGTGCCTGTTTCCTTTAGATTATATTTTACTCCCCACAGGAAGCTATTTCAAAATCCCAAGTGAGAGATGGTAAGGGTCAACACTGTAGTAGTTGTGAATGTGTGAGGGGAGACAAATAGATTTTGTGGAGGTAGAAAAGACAGAATTTGGAAATTGATTGAGAATGTGGGATGAATGAGAATGCTGTCAAGGATGACAAATGAGGTTATAAACTTGGATGACTGAAAAGATGGTGCTCACGTCAGCTGCAGTAAGGAGGTTCAGGAGAGAGACAAGGGTTAGATCCAGGAGTCATCTACATGGAGATAATCATTAAACCTACAGGAGCTGATGAGGTCACCAATATAATATAAACTTTATTTCCTTAGGGCCTAGCACAGTGCCTGGCACGTAATCATTTAATGAATGCCTACTGATTGATTGAGAGAGTAGAGAGAAAGAAGAGGGCCCAGGAGGGGACCTGAGGACCATGGAATTTATTAATTTTTTAAAAACTCTTGCTAATATCAGTACAATAACACCTCTGTAGGGTATAATGGAGAACCACAACTGGAAAACAGATTTCTGAGATTTGTTGCACTGGTTATGGAAGAGAACAGCAAATATTCCAGAGTTTTTTCTCCCTCCTACCATGCCATATTTCAGCATGTTTCATATCTGGGAATACTTTTTTTTATTCTACTTAATAATATCAATTTGTTGGTAGTTTCTGAAGCATTAAAATTGATAAAAGAAGCAAGGTAATTTTTTTGCCTTAATGTCTTGTTTGTTTTTAAGATTTTTTATGTCAGTCAACAAGCATTTATTAAGCACTTATTGTGTACTTGGAATGTGCTAGGTGTAGGTGATACCAAGACAAGAGTGAAAGAATCCTTGCCCTCAAGGACCTTATGATCTAGCCAAAGAAAACATCATGTACATATATATGGGTATATACAAAGTATATACAAAGTAAGTACCAGGTAATTTTGAGGGGAAGGCAACGGGGTACATCAGCAGAGGTTTCATGTAGTAGATGGCACTGAGTTCAAGGTAACTGTATTAAGAGGTGGAAGTGAAGAAGAGATATATTCTAGGCATGGGGGATGACCAGTGTAAAGGCATGGAGATGAGATGTCATATATGTGGTGAGATCCACTAGACCTTAGTGTTTGTGAAGGGCAAATACTGGGTAATAAGGCTGGAAAGTTAGTTTGGAGCCATGTTGTGAAGAGCTTTAAATGCCAGCTCTTGAATTAATAGGTAGCTACTAGAGTCGATTGCTGTATATTTCAAGTTTAGTTTTAGATGAGTTCTTAAATGTTACTGCTGAGATTTAATTCAAATCAATTTACAAGCTTACTTTGGTGATTGTAGATAACAAATGGTTATGTTTTAAGTATCGTTGTTTTTCCTGTGTCTTTAAGCTCAACTGGAAAGGATGGTTAGTACTGTGATACTGTGATATCATTGATATAGGCATTTCCTCCATTGATATAGATTGCAGCCCCTCCATACCCTCTCCTCCTATCTAATTCTTATCCTATAAATCACCCATAGGGAGACTACCCATTGCTCTGGAGATTTTCCTTTCATTCATCCAAGATCTTAAAGGTATCAGACACTTAAAGGTATCAGGTATCAGACACTTACTAGCTATGTGACCTTGGCCAAATCACTTAACCCTATTTGCCTCATCTGTAAAATGAGCTGGAGAAGAAAATGGCAATTCACTTCAGTATCTTTGCCAAGAAAACCCCAAATGGGGATCACAAAGAGTCAGACACGACTGAAATGATAGAACAACTACAAAGTTGGAGATAGGGAAATCGAACTCAGGAGAGAGACAAGGGCTGGATCCAAGAGTCATATACATAGAGATAATCATTAAACTTACAGGAATAGTGTATCCCTATACTGTTAACCTACAGGCTAGTGTATGGCTTAGACTTTCTGCGCATTGTTCTTGTTCTGTTTGTTGTTCATGAACAGCACAACTTGTTTTTAGGTCAAATGTGTTTTCGATATTATCTTTATACCACTTCCTTACAAATCACAATTAACATGCTGTATATACCTTCCTTATGCCCACTACAAATCTTTCCATTGCCCTTTGGGTTATTGATAATTTTAATTCTTCTAGTATTGGAGTGTCTCATCATTGGGTGTAATGCTTTTATTAAAGATGGGCTTTTGTAGCTGGGAACAAGTAGAGATTATTGGAAGTAATTTAAGTTTTTCAAATTCAGTCTAGTCTAATTTTTTCCTCTTGCTCCTCAATTCTGAGCCTAGATTTTCTATTTGCATTGCCTACTCCAGATACAATACACACATTTTTGGACAAACTTGAGAGACTGCCTGTACAGCTACAGGTCTGGCCATATAGTAGAATTGGTGTGTGTTTTTCATCCACTTTGTTTTGCCTGCACTCCAGTGGATTTCACTGAGGAGTCTTTATAAAAGCATTCTAGGGCTCAAATAGTTAACAAGATGTGACCTGTGAATCCTTTTGTTTGAATTTTTTGTGGGACTTTTTCCTTGACAATGGCAAACACATTAGGCAGATCATAGATCTAGAGTGGAAGAGACCTCAAAGTCCATCAAGTTCAGCCTCATTTTATACATGTGCAAAGTCTCTGAGGCCTTTGGAGTTTATGTGAGTTATACAACACAAGGTTATACAGGTCGTAAAACTGTACGGGAATGGTTTGAAACTAGGTTTTTCTGATTATAGATTAAGTACTTTTTCCATAGTTTCACACAGCTTTCATGGTGCCACATCATTGAACAATGTTATTTCCATAATTGCAACTATCATAACTTTGTATGATTTTAAATCCTTGTTTAAAGGGAGCCTTCAAAACTGCATTCTGTGCTACAGTGTCTAATGCTATTTTATAATAAAATGGAATCTTATTTTCTGTATTTTTCTTTCATTTGTGTGATCATAAAAATATGGTTTATATAAGAAAATAGTTTGCAAAAGCTTGCTTATACTCCATATATCAAGTATCTTTTTTTTTTCATTTTTTGCCTTTTTTTTTTTTTTTTTTTTGGTGAGGCATTCAGGGTTAAGTGACTTGCCCAGGGTCACACAGCTAGTAAGTGTCAAGTGTCTGAGGTTGGATTTGAACTCAGGTCCTCATGATTCCAAGGCCAGAGCTCTATCCACTGAGTCACCTAGCTGCCCCTGTCAAGTATCTTTATAATGCATGTATATTGCATTCTTGCAGAAATTTTATATTTTATTTAGATGAGAGAACTGTGAGTTGATAATTGCTAATGTTTTGGTCTCTCTTTTTTGGCAAAAGCATTCTGTAGTCTTGGAGTATACCATTTTTTAAAATAATATTGAGTTCCCTGAGTTATTTTAAAATTGGACTGCTTCTGTTACTGATTTCTTCCATATATGTTTGATCAGGTCCATCCATTCTTCCCAACTTCATTTTTTTTCTTTACTGTTGTCACTTAACTTACATTGTACATTGGGTATTGAGGTTCTACTTCTAATGAGAATAGTGTGATGATATTTGGCTTTTATTAATGAGAATAGATGACTATAAAAATTCTGGATAACCTGTTCCATTTAAAATCTTATTTGTCCTACTTCCAGTTTCATCAACAGATATTCTTGGAATGATTTGAATATAACACCAAGCTATCTATCAAGTCCCTTTCTCAACTACTTTTTGCTGTTTTGACAAAAATTTTACTCATTGTCCTTGGTAGTGTTTTGCAAATAAGCTTGTGCTCTAAACCAGTGTTACCCTTGGCTACTACTTCTCTCTTCTTAGCAGGGAGATCATATGTTTGCTGAGGGCCTTTCTAGGGCTTTGTGACTGCTTCATTTTAACTGTTTAGCATCAGTTAAAAGTCAATGCCTTTACCCTTGTCCATTTTCCATTTTTAAAATGTAAACAACTTGTTCTCATTGGAGCTTCTATAATTGCATGTAATGTAATTGGTATTTACCAATTAAGAATCTTACAGGTAACTGAATCTGTAATTATGTCATTCATGAAATTAATTATTTCTTGTCTATTTTAACTCATTTGTTTTGGACAAAGATCACATTTTAAGTACCAACGATTAAATTAATGTTTTGTAGATTGTCTAAAACTGCAGTTCTTGGCATTTTATGCTTTTTTGATGCGTCACCATCATCACTATAGAATGGAGATCATAGATTTATAGCTGGAAGGGACCTTAAAGGTTATTGATAATTCTAACCTCCTTATCTAATAAATGGGGAACTGAGGTTCAGAGATATCAAGTAACTAGCCCACAGTCTTACAAGTAATAATTACTGAAGACAGGCTTCAAACCCAGGGCTTCTTGACTCCAAGTCCAGTGTTTTATCCCCTATACCATGGGGTTATCCAGGGCTGAGTGACCTTTTGAGTGTTTATCTTGATGGTGAGTCTTTCTGTATTTGGTTAGAAGAGTTTTCAGAGGACCAATATAATTCATACCACATCCATACCAAAAGTTTTTCTAATTTAGTCAAGACCTTTCAGAGCCATGCTCTGCCAGAATAGCCTTCAAAAATCACCTTCTTGCTATGATGAGGCATTGATGCATAACTTCAGAAGGTACAGTGAACTTTTGGCCTCCATTTTACTTTTTATCATTTTTAAATTTAATTAATTATTTAATTTTTTAAAGCAATTGGGGTTAAGTGACTTGCCCAAGGTCACACTGCTAGGAGGTCTCAAGTGTTTGGTCTGAGGTTGGATTTGAACTCAGGTCCTCCTGACTTCAGGGCCTGTGCTCCATCCACTGCACCACCTACCTGCTCCTTGGCCTCCATTTTAAAGGATTGATACATAACTTGCATTTTTCTTTTACAGCCAGATATTTTATTTTGTGATGATTTATAAACTTTGATATTCATAAAAATGACATTTTGTTGTTATGCTTTCTTTACCTTTCAGATTTCCCATCAGACATTGCTAATAAGTCTCTTTCAGAGAGTACTTCTACAATGCTCTGGAAATCAAAAGGAAGAAGGAGAAGATCATCCCACCCTACAGCAGAATCCTCTAGTGAGCAAGGAGCTAGTGAAGCTGACATTGACAGCGACAGTGGTTACTGCAGTCCCAAACACAGCAACAATCAGGCTACAGCGATGACTTCCAGAAATACTGATTCTGGTACAATTAATGTATGTGACCATTGCCTAGATTTATACATTTGTAACTGTGCTCAAGTATTTACTTTCTCTAATAGTTGCTATGGAAATGAGAGGATGTTAGTTGAAAATTTATTTTACATTGAATTTATTTTTTCTTTTAAATTTATTGTTAAAGTAATGAATAGAGTGAGATTTATTTTTCTAAAAATTGTAATGAGTGTGCTATATTTATGGTGTGAAGCTTTTTGCAGAGTTAAAAGTGTTTATTTTAAAGTGGTAACCTCTAACACTTTTTTTCCTTATTTTTAGCTTGTGGAACCATCATTATGTTCAGGTATTTATCTAAGTATTCTGATACTATCATCTGCTTGCTACTAATCTCCATATTGTTTCATCCTTCTTGCTCTTCTTTCCTCCTTTTAGATCCTTTAAGAGTTTTAGCTTTTATAGATGAGACTTGAAAATGGAAAAAAAAACCTAAAAAACTAGAAATGTTCCCAAAAAGTTAAAATTAACTCAGATGATTGCCCTGAGCAAATTAAAAAAAACTTTGAAAGTATATGGCAAGTTACAGCATGTGTTCAAAATAAGAATGTTACAAAAAAAATTTTGAGAATTTTCCCAACTTTATGTCAAATGCTGTTTAAGTATGGGATTAAAGTCTGTCTGATTTTTATGACATGGAATTTTATGAAATATAGGAAATAATTTTCCTCTTCTCCTTCCCATACTCCCATCCCCCTGACCTTCTTGTTTCTTTTTCTGAATCTTTATCATAACTTGTAGGTGGAACAAGTTGGTCCAATGTAACTTCTCAGGCAACTCAGAAAAAACCTTGGATGGAAAAAAATCAGCTGTTTTCTAGAGGTGGAAGGCAAACTGAGCAAAGAAATAACTCACAGGTAACTTCTGTTTCATATATTCATAGAATCTGAGTTAAAAATCTGTACTATTCAAAAATCCTATTCTACCCTTATCAGCTATCTTATTCCTCATAGAGACTCTTCCAAACCCAACTGTACCCTAACCCCTCAAATTTATAAATGATCTAGCCTTCTACTTCACTAAAAGATTGAGGCCATCGAATGGGGAATACTATCTCAACATCTTCATTTATTTTTCTAAGCCGAAGAACAAAGTGTTCTTACTCCTCATTAAGGTTAATCTCCTCTACCTGATCTTATTATTTCCCACTTCTTATAGGACCCTGATTCTTTATTCATCCCCTTTCTCTACTGCATCTTTTAGATATTCTTCCCCTGCTGGTTCTTTTCCATGAGAGATTTTCCACACTCCTCATTTATTATTTTTTTTTATCCAGTAAAAATCTTGCCTCCATTTCTTTGATTGGTTTCTTTGATTTAATTGCTTTCCTCATGCTTTTCATTGATTTTTATTCAAATGTTCTTAACTGTGTTTCCCTTCTCTGATTCTTGGATTTCCTTCTCTGATTAGATTTTTCTAATATACAGTACTACTGTAATCCCTTGTCCCTATTACCGTGCCTTCTACTCCTTGATCTAGCATCTTTCTTTTGGCTGAGATTTTTCTAAAGCCATATTCTACTCATGGGTCTTATATGATACTTATGAGGTCAAATTTGCCTCTGTATATTAGGTCGCCTAATAAATCTTGCCAATACCTATACTTTGTGCATTTATGTTTAGACATCTGAGGCCTAGGGTTGTATTATTTGCTTCTTTTTTGTGTTTATCCTCTGAGCATTTCAGCTTCAACTATTTTTCCTATATTTCTAGCAACTCTATGTCTAACTTGGTAGATATGCTTAAGAAGTTTTCTCCTTCGCTCTTCCTTTTCAGTTTAAAGTTCTTTTGATTAGATTTGTAAGACTTTAAGCAAGAATATCCTTATCAGCACTTGTTAGGTGCCAGCCTTGTTTAGGAACTTGTGATTCCTATACTTTTAGCCATAGTCCAGATCCATTTCTGAAATTCATTCTCAGAGATAATCATCTTAACCAGCTTCCTTAACCACTTCCTAAATCTGCTTTTTTCTTTTTTAATCCCTTGCCTTGGATGAGCAGAAGTGATAGAAACACTGCTTATACCCCTAAAGCCTTCAATTTTTTTTTACCCAAGGTTTTGCAATATTTGATAATTGTTTTTAGGTTGTTCTTTTTGATAGTGCCAATGTGAGTGGTGACAAGTGGGTAGTAGTAATCTGACTTGACAAGTCTTGGATGGTTCTTTTAAATGTCTCGGGTTTACCTGGGAAAGGAGCAGACTACCCTGGGAAGGTAGCAGACATCTCTTATTATCAGATTTATAAATACCTGTTTCAGTACCCTTCAGCAAGGAGTTACTAAGTACTACTAGTAGTAATTTTTCCTGTGATCTTCATTAGGTAATCTCTCTACTAACATTATAGTATCACTCCTTGGAGAACAAGCAGCTGCTTCCTCTTTAGAGTGTAAAGCTCCCTTCTCTTTAGGGGACAGAACATCATTTCTATCCCTTCTTAGGTCTTCATTTTACCTGCAGAATAGCTTTTAAAAAAATCCGTTTCTTACCTTCAGCACTTATCAACTTTAACTTGTTCTGAGCTTTAGTATTCTTGACACTGTTTTCATAGGACAGTACAATGCTGTTCTTTTTGTATTTATTGTCATTTATTTCCCCTTGCTTCCATTTTATGTATGTATATTTTTAAAACCAAAGTTGTTTGGTGAGTTCCCTGTGTGTTTACATTAGTTTTTAAATAGAAATTCTTTTTCTTCTTTGCAGGAATTGTCAGGATTTTGAAATTTTATCTATTTTGTCTCTCTTTGGCTAGCTTTCTTTGTAGAATTTTAGGTCATAGTTATTCTACTTATTTTAACTAGAACTTTGAAAATTGAATATCCAAAATCTACAGTGGGCATCAAACTCTGCCCAGCTTTTCCCTTTACTGACTATTGTGAACTCTAACATGGCATGGTCACTTCCTCCAGATGTTTCCCATCATTTCTGCTTCAGCCAGTTTGTCCTTATTAGGAAGAATCAGCTTTTTTCCAGGAAGCAGAATTAATGCCACCTGGAACTTCTTTGTCTTAGGGGTTTAGGCTTTTAAACCCCCTGGCAACAAATGCTTATTAAATTGCTAAACTGGTAACTAGCCCTAATTTGTAATGAACTTACCTAGAATTTTTAAATTCCATTTTCATTTCTAAAGAAAAAAATCACATTCTTTTGATGTCAATAGGGTGCTCGGCTGCCTAAATGACTTACTGACCTGAATCTTTGCTTTAGTCTGGTCTTGATGAAATTTAGGAAAGCTGATACTAAGGTACCTTTACTGTGAATTCACACTGGAAAACTGACCTGCAGTTACTGCTGTAAGAACAAATTATTGTTGTTTATGAAAAACTATTAGGCAAAGATCTACCTTTTTTTTTAAAAGCAGTAATTGTAAGCAACTCTCTAGTTTTTATTAACAGATAAATATTGGTAGAATGCTAGACTTGGGAGTCCTCATGGTCTGTGGTCTTTTCCAGTGCTGGTAGCTGAAAAAGAATTCCTGCAATCCAACAAAAGGTCATTCAGCCTTTCCTTGAAGACCTCAAATGAAGGGGAATCTGCTACCTCCCGAGAGAGTCTTGTCTGTGTTTGTGGATAAGCTTGAATTGTTAGAAATTCCTTCTTTAATCAAGCTTAAATTTACCTCTTTGCAGTTTCACCAGTTGCTCTAGGTCTGCCTTCTGGAACCAAACGAAACAAGTCTAATTATTTTTCCATGTAGCCGCCCTTTAAATACTTAAAGACCACTGTCCTGTTCTTCTCTATGATATATATCCCTAGTTCCTTCAACTGATTCTCAAATGGCATGGACTCAAGGCCGTTTACAATCCTGGGTACTCCTCTGATTAGTCTCTAGCTTATCAATATCATTTTTAAAATGTGGCACCCACAAAGGAATGGAATATTTCAAGTGTGGTCTAACCATAGCTAAGTACAACGTGGCTGTTACCTCATAGTTTTGGATTCTTAATGCAGCCTAAAATTGTTGCCAGATCATTCTGTTGACTCATTAAGCTTAAAGGCCACTAAAACTTATAGCTCTTTCTTAGATAAACTGCTGTTTAGCAAGCCCAGATACTTATAAAATCAGTTTTTTAAACCCAAATGAAAGACTTTATTAACTCTATTAAGTTTCATTGCCATATTTTAAAAATATATAAAGTGTCAAAATTCCCACCTTCAGGTTATAAATTCTGATTTTACTAAGCTTTTTAGAAATTCAAGGCTTCAGTTTTGACCTGGCAGCCTGCTAGAGGAGAAAGTCTATGGAGGGGAGAAAAAAATCTTGTATTTTTTCCTCAGTGGGAAGGATAAGAAATATAAAACAGGCAAAGTTGGGAGAAGTATAGTGTGTCAGTGAATATCATGTTGAACAGAATATTTATTTCTAATATTGATACCTGAAGATTAGTGTCTGGTTTTTTTTTTTTGTCTTATTATTTATCATAGTAGTCAAATCATGTCTTTAATTGTTTTCTGAAGAAGGTCTATGCAACCCTTTGTTTTGACCTACTCCACTTTAGGCTTTATAATTTAACAATAAAGCCCACAAATGACTTTTTTTACTGATTTTATATTGTTGTATATGTTTTGTCTCAACCAGGAAGAATTTATTTTGCAAAACTGAAAAAATAATTTTTATTTATTTCACAAGCAGATAATTTTATTTTGTAGTCAATTGGACTTTTTTCTTTACTCTTTCTAGTTTTTTTTCTGTGGGCAGTTTAAACGCATATTTTATTTTTTTTAATTAATTTATTTTTAGTTTTCAGCAATCACTTCCATAAGCTTTTGAGTTTTAAATTTTCTTCCCATCCCTCTCTGCTTCCTTCCCCAAGATGATGTGCAATCTGATATAGACGCTACATATACGTTCCTATTAGACACGTTTACACATTAGTCATGTTGTAAAGAAGAATTATAACCAATAGCAGGAGCCACAAGAAAGAAAAAAACAAAACAAACTAGAAGAAAAAAAAAGAGCAAATAGTACTCTTTGTTCTGCATTTAAACTCCATAGTTCTTTCTTTGGGTGTGGATAGCATTTTCCATCATGAGACTTTTGGAGATGTCTTAGATCCTTGCATTGCTGAGAAGAGCTAAGTCTATCAAAATTGGTCATTGTACAGTGTGGCTATTGCTGTGTGTACAGTGTTCTTCTGGTTCTGCTCATTTTACTCAGCATCAGTTCATATAAATCTTTCCAGGTTTTTCTGAAGTCTGCCTATTCATCATTTCTTGTAGCACAATACTATTCCATTATATTCGTATACCACAACTTGTTCAGCCATTCTCCAATTGATTGGCATCTCCTCAATTTCCAATTCTTTGCCACCACAGAAAGAGCTGCTATAAATATTTTTGTACATGTGAGTCCCTTTCCCATTTTTTTGACCTCTTTGGGATACAGCCCTAGAAATGCTATTGCTGGGTCAAAGGGTATGCACATTTTTGTAGCCCTTTGGGCATAGTTCCAAATTGCTCTCCAAAATGGTTGGATTAGTTCACAGCTCCACCAACAATGTATTAGTGTTCCAATTTTCCCACATCTTCTCCAGCATTTATCATTTTCCCATGTTAGTCAGCCTGATAGATGTGATGTGGTACCTCAGAGTTGTTTTGATTGGCATTTCTCTAATCAATAGTGATTTAGAACATTTTTTCATATGAGTATAGATGGCTTTAATTTCTTCATCTGAAAATTGCCTGTTCATATCCTTTGTCCATTGATCAATTGGGGAATGACTTATATTCTTATAAATTTGACTTAGTTCTCTATATATTTTAGAAATGAGGCCCTTATCAAAGACACTGGTTGTAAAAGTTCTTTCCCAGTTTTCTGCTTCCCTCCTAATCTTGGTTGCATTGGCTTTGTTTGTGCAAAAAACAAATCCTTTTTTTTTTTTTTAAAAAAAGGATTCAAGCCACTTTAACATACAACATTTAAGAAAAGCATTAATGTTTTAAATAACAATCTGGAAATTATAAGTGTTTACCTGTAGTGAAACTTATATTTTTCAGTTTAATGATTTTTGTAAATGATATCTTCCATCTTTATTAGGGATTCTCAAACCTATAAATGACTAAGTTTGGTTTTTGCTTTTAGGACCCGTAGTCACCTCCACAGGATGAAATATTAGATCACGACTTTGTATAGAGAAACCTGAATTGATATAAATCTACCATTTTTAAATTCATAGGCTCATAGTTTTAGAAGCAGAAGAGATCTTAGATGTCATCTACTTTAGTTCTTATATTTTACGTGATGAGGTAACTGAGTCCCAGAAAAATTAAATGACTTCCCTAAAGTCTCAGAGCTAGGTTAGATCCTAGCTAATTTGATGCCATATTTTACAATCTTTCTACTCTGCTTTCTGGAGCCTGATATTTTCATTAGTCCCTCATCATGTGTTTGATAACCCAGTGAGAGCCGTATCACTCTAACAGAATCTCAGGCTGTGGCTCTGGTAGTATATCCTCATTGTTAATGTGACGGGATTCTGCAACATAGAGTCAGTACCCTTATCAGCTTGTCTCTTAGAAATAAGAATCAGCTCCTAAGAGTGTAAAAAAGTTTCAGAACCCTCTTGTATTTGCTTCAGATTAAAGAATTCAAGGCATGTGTAAAAGCATTTCCTCTCAAGGTCTTTCTTGCTCTGGTAATTCACTGTTTGAGTTTAGTTAAAAGTTTTGGTAGCTGAGGTGACCTGGAGACTATAGTTTTTAATCCTTTAATTTTTTTTCTGCATAAGGAAAGGATCTAGCACTATAAAAAATTGAGTACTTCAAAAGACATGATCTGAAAATAGGTATTAATTATAGAATTACTGTTTAATATGCTGTTTATTTTGGCCCTTTTTAAAGCTGAGCATTTTGCTATATTGTAAACAGTAATAGCATTTTACTTGAGTGTGTTTTAATGAAAAAGCTATTTTAATGTATCAGCTTTCTTGGAAATTCCAGATTTAAACAGATTTTTTTTTAAAGTGTAACTTAAAAATGCTGGTGATAGTGAATATTGAAAAAACATATTTTTGTTAACATTTTCATTTGTGATTATTGTATTAAATTAAGTAATTTTTAAAGGTTAGTAGTATGAAATCCTAGTATTCTTTTTTTTTGTTCTTGGGGTTTATTTAGGTTGGGTTCAGATGCCGTGGACATAGTACGTCCTCAGAAAGAAGACAAAGTTTGCAGAAGAGACAAGACAATAAACCATTAAGCGGCCAATCTCACAGAGTAGAACCAACTCCTGACCCATTATATTTTGAGGTATTCTTTTTTCCTCTGTATGATGTTAGTGATTTGTACCATGGGACATTTATTTTGGATTTTATTTTCATTACTCTCTCGAGGATTGTTTAAGTTTTGGTATTTATATCCCCAGCATTTAATGTGATACCTGATACAGAGATAATTAATAAGTGCTTGTTGTTGCTGTGTAAGTACACTGATCATATAATATTTTTAAACATAAATCCCGTATTAGATTTTAAGTTTCTTGAGGATAAGAGAAGTACCTTTTTAGGGTCATAATGTTAGTGGTAGAAGAAGCCTTAGATATGAGAGCCAATTTCCTCATCTTACAGATGAAAGGACTGAAGCTCATAAAACATAACTGATTGCGTAGGCCATATGGTTCTTGGATTCCAAATTCTGTATTGTTTCCATTATTTTGTCTCTTTTTTATGTGTTGATTCAGAATTGAAATACCAGTTATGCTTAATAGACCAATTTTAATATAGCAACTACTGCATTATCAAGCCATTAAAAGGCAAACCCAAAAAATCCCAACTTGAAAATGGCAAATAGGAACTAACTTTTAGTCTTTTCTTTCTGTGAAAACTGAAGAACAAGTGGGATAAAGAAGTTACGGATATCATCATTTGAGATGTGAAGGTTAATACTGTTTACAATCCATTTTTTTCAGTTTGCTACACCAGTTATTGTTTTGTAGATGACATTTTTGGTATCTACAAGGACTACAATGATTTCATGTTAGTTCTAGTCTTAGCTTAGTGACAGTGTTTCAAAGAGCTTAGCTTGCATTCTAGCAGAAGGAAACAACATGCACACGTATAAGTCAATACAAAATAAATACAAGTTAGTTTAGGGAGGGATGCTACTAGCATTTATGAGGATTTGGTAAATCTTTGGGTATGTGGTAGTACCTGAGCTGAGTGCTGATGGAAGTAAGGTATGCTGAGAGATTATGGAGGTTGGAAGGAGAGAACACATTTTAGGCATTGAAAACAGTGAGTACAAAGTCATGGAGAATAGATAAGGAGTCCCACATGTTAGGAACTGCAAGAAGGCCTTGGATTGGACTCTATGGGAAGAGAAATTATGTGAAGAGTAGAAAAATTTGGCTGGGTCCAGATGATAAAAGGTTTTAAAAGCCAAACAAAAATTTGTATTTGACCCTAAAGGCAATTGGGAGGCAGGAGTTTACTGATTAGAGGAGTAACATAGTCAGACCTACATTTAAGGGTAAACAGTTTGGCAGCTGCATGGAGCAGATGCAAGAGAGTGAAGAGGCTTGAGGCAGGGAGACCATTTAGAAGGTTATTCAAATAATCCATTTAAGAGGTGATTAGGGCTGAAACTAAGGTGGTTGGTTATGTGAGTTGTGAGAAGGGGACCAGTGCAAGAGATGTTGTGGAGGTAGAAGTAGAAGGATTTGGCAACTAGTTGGATATGTGTGGAGAGAGAAAATGAGGAGTTAAAGTTACCTGGAAGGCTAGAAAGATGGTGATGCCCACAGTAGAAATTGGAAAGTTTGGAAAAGGGCAGGGTTTTTTGGAGGGAAAGATAACAAGCTCTTTTTTTTTAGGATATGTTAGATTTGAGATGTCAACGGTATGTGCAGTTTGAAATTAGACAGTGATGTGGGACTGGAACTTAAATGAGAGTCTGGGACTAAATATATGGATCTGGATGGATAAACTTGATGAGAAACTACCAAGTGAGATAGTGTAGGGAGAAAAGAAGAAAAGTGGGTCCAAGACAGAGGTTTGGGGTTTACCCACAGTGGGTATGATATGAATGATGATCCAGCACAAGAGACTGAGAAGGGGAAGTTAGACAGGAAAGAAGAGAACCATACAAGAATAATGCCAGAAAAAAGCCAGAGAAAAGAGAGCTTCCAGGAGAGGAGAGGGTGGTCGACAGTGTCAAGAAGGCTAAGGATTGAGGAAAGGCTATTAGATTTGCAGTGAATATAGCACTGGAAAGTTGGGAGAAAACAGGTTCTATTGAGTGAGGTCAGAAGCAAAGTTACAGATGGTTCAGAAGAGAGAAGAGAAGGAAGGCTTTTTCAAGGAGTTTGGCTATGATAGAAACAGATAGAATGCTAGTTAGTAGGGATAGTTAACTAGTGGGAGGGGAGAGAGAAAAAGAGATAGAGATTGGGGATGATTGAGGCAAGGCAATTTGCTGGAGGAAATGGGAGGGCTTGGGGTTTAAAGCATATGTAAAGCCTTGGCAGGGAGAAGGACCTCCTCTTCCTCAGAATGGAATAAGTGAGGAAATAGTGGAAGATGATGTCAAGGGTTACTCCCAGATACCATCCTCTTAGGGCTTCCTCCAGCTCTCTTTAGTAGAGTACGAAGAGCACGTGAATGAAGTCAGTAGTCCAGGGTTAAGGATTGGTACAGTATGGTGATAACATAGGGGAGGAAGGCTGGGGGAGAGCAAGGAATGTGAGAGTAGAAGACAGTGTGGTGTTGAACTGGTTAACTATAGGGTTAAGATTAAGATAGCAGAAAACTGAAGTTAGAACAGAATTTCTGTAAGTATTGAGGGCTGGAGATTGGATGTCACAATGAGGACAAGGATTTAGGAAATGGGTAAGGCATATAGAGAAGTAGAATATTACAAGTTTTTGAAGAGACAGAAAATGTCAGAATTTTTTAAACACTGTGAAGCAGTGTCTTGCCTATTTATTTCAATAAATATTTGTTTAGAACACTTATGAGTAGAGTTAAATGTTTCCTTTTCCAAATATTTTAAATCATCCAGTACTTAATAAGCATCATATGCAGGGCACCACTGTAAGTTAAAGGTAAAGAAATTGTATTTGAAGAAGTTATGGTTTGGTAGGAGAATAAGTCAAGTACAGTAATTAGCTGATAGACAAGATGAAAGTGCTATGGGGGTTCAGAGGAGGGAAATATGAGATGGCATTTGAAGTGACCTTGAAGATCAGTCAGTCAATAAACATTTATTAATTGCCTCCTTTGTCCCAGACACTGTGCTAAGTGCTAGGGATACAAAAAGAGGCAAAATTCAGTCTCGGTCCTCTAGGATCTCACAGTCTGTTGCGAAAGAAAACAAGCAAACAGACATGTACACAAACACATTATGAACAGGATAAGTAGGAAGTAATTAATAGAGGGAAGGCACTAGAATTAAGGGGGACTGGGAAAGGCTTCCTATACAAAATAGGATTTTAGTTGGGACTTAAAGGAAGCCAGGAGGCAGAGATGAGGAGGGGAGAGCCAACCAAAAAAAAATTCCCAGAGCCAAGAGATGGAGTGTCTTATGGAACAGCCAGGCAGCCATTGTCACTGGATAGAATATGTGGTGGGGAGCAAGGGGTAAGAAGACTGGAAAGCTAGCATGGGGCTAGGTCGTAAGGCTTTGAATGCCAAACAGGATTTTCTATTTGATCTGGAGAGCTACAGGGAGCTATTAGAATTTATTGAGTAAGGAGATGACATGGTTGGACCTGCACTTTAGGAAAATTACCTTAGTGGCCCAATAGTATATGGAGTGGAGGAGAAATTGGAGGCAAGCAGACCCACCAATAGTCGATTGCAATAATGTAGGTGTGAAGTGATGAGGGCCTTTACCAGTAGTGGCGGTGTCAGAGGAAAGGGGGGTGTTCTTGAGATGTTGCAAAGGTGAAATCTACAGACATTGGCAACAGATTGGTTATGGCGGGGGGCAGAGATAGTGAGGAATTGAGGATGATGCCTAGGTTAAGCCTAAGAAACTGTGAGGATGGTGTAACCCTCTGAAGTAACAGGGCAGTTGGGGATGGGGTTTAGAGAGGGTAAAATAATGAGTTCTATTTTAGACATGTTTAGTTTAAGATGAGATGTTTACTGGACATCAAGTTTGAAATGTCTGAAGGCAGTTGAAGATAGGAGGATTGGACAACAGCAGAGAGGTTAGGACACGATACGTAGATTTGGGAATCATCATCATGGCCAATATGGAAATTTGTTTGGCATGACCATACATATTTTTGATGGGTTCTATTTTTATTGCCTCCTCAATGGGTAGAGGAGGAGGAAGGGAGAGAATTTGGAACTGAAAGTAAAATAAAATTGAATTTAAAAAAAAAAAGAATTATCAGCATAGAGATGGTAAAAATCTATGGGAGCTAATGAGATTACCACATGAAGTAGTTTAAAGGGAGAAAAGAGAGTCCAGGACAGAACCCTGTGGAACACCTATGATTAGAGGATGTGATCTGGATGAGAATCCAGCACAGGAAACTGAAAAGTAGTAGTCTGATAAATAGAACGAGAACCCGGAGATAGTGGTGTCCTGAAAACCTAGAGAAATATCAAGGACAAGAGGATGATTAAGTGTCAAAAGCTACAGAGAAGTCAAAGAGAATGAGATAAAATAAAGTTAGGCTCACATTATGTAGGGCCATAAATTCTAGGTTATATTTACACATAATTTCATTTTGGCCATGGAGAGCCATTGAATGTCTTTGATCAGGGGAAGAGGAACTTTGTTTTAGGAAGGTTATTATAGTTACAATGTGTAGAAGGGAGGGTTCACATAGAGGAAGAATGTGACAGCAGAGAGAACAGTTGAGAGGCTGTTAAAGTATACTTGGCTATAGATAATCAGGGCCTGAATAGTGGCAAAAGTGAATGGAAAAGAAACTTAGACATTTTCAATGCTTTTAAAGAATTAAAAAATCACCTAAGTTAGTTTGTTGTTGCTTTGTGCTGTTTAGGTTTTTACTTTAAAATTCATTACTTTGTTTTAGGATGAAGATGAATTTACAGAGCTGAATGAGACTGCAAGTGCTAAAGATGAGAACATTCAACAAAAGATTTCTGCAAAAGTCGTAAGACTGACTCTTGCAATAATTTGTTCCCAAATATGGACAGACTAGCAGAATTGCTGACTAATGTTGATTTTATATATAGCCATTGATACAAGTATTAAATCCCCTTATCAGGCACATTTTTTTGAACCAGTGTTTCATTAATAAAACAGATCAAATATATTTTTTACATACTAATATGTAATTTAACTTCTTATAATTGGCAAAGCCTATAGCATAGGTCACGTGATAGTTTCTTGACACTGATTTTAAGTAGATTTTTAAAGTCAACATTGGTCAACAAAATATGTAGAATTTGTTTTTGTTTATACATATTTGAAGTTAAGAGGTGGAGGATGGAAGTATTCCAAAGTGTCATTAGATAAACTCATGTCTCAGAAAACATCTTGATAAATTATCTTAATTGTATCCATATTGAAACTTTGATTTATTGTAGCTATTTTATTTTATTCAGTTTAATTTATAGGAAATAACTCTTCTAATAGGTGTCAGGAATCCTTAAGTAATCCTTAAATTGAATGCCCCATTCTTTTTTTTTTATTTTAATTTTTGTTTTGGAAATATTAGTTGGATGACTTACCTGAAAATTCACCAATTAACATAGTTCAGACTCCAATTCCTATTACAACCTCTGTACCTAAACGTGCAAAAAGTCAAAAGAAGAAGGCTTTAGCAGCAGCACTTGCCACAGCTCAGGAATATTCAGAGATCAGTATGGAGCAAAAAAAAATACAGGTTTGTTAAAAATAATTTTCATTCATGGGTTTTTAATATTTAATTTGCCAAATGCTAAGGGAAAAAAAGGTTGGGAGGGATGTAATAAATATAACAGTCTTAAATTCGCCAATATATTATATTGTATATATAGGTAAACATTTTTTGTTCATGTTGCAGGAAGCTTTATCAAAGGCAGCGGGCAAAAAGAGTAAGACTCCTGTGCAGCTTGATTTAGGGGATATGTTAGCAGCTCTGGAAAAGCAACAGCAAGCAATGAAAGCTCGGCAGATCACAAACACCAGACCATTGTCATATACAGGTGATAACATTATTTATGTGGAGGAAAAAGCGATCTTGTTTTAGTGATATATACTCAAGTGGTGCCAGTATTTAGAAGTATTTAAATTTATGTGTGCTTATATTGATGTATTTGTTTTTCAGGTATGTATTAACAGAGTGTCCCAGAAACCTATTAATGCTTAAAACTGCACTAAGACTTTTGGGATGCTGTATATTTTCTTTAAAAGTAATTTAGTAGATTGAAATCTCATAAATTTTAAATCACATTAATTTAGCCAGGTTTAGTTATTTAATTAAGTGCAAGCTAACTGGTGATTTAAAATTCATCAGATATTTGTGTGGAAATTAGCTTGTCTTCTGCTATAATAATTTCTGTTGTAAAATGTGCCTTCTGAATTTTGTACGCCTATGTCTTCAGTGAAATGTCATTGAGAAAACCTGAAAAGGGCACTGGCTGATTTGGTCATTGGTTTAGAACTTTACCTCAGCATTATTGTGTGTTCTTTAATTTTTTTCCTCCGTTCTTTCTCTCTCTCTCTCTCTCTCTTTTTTTTTTTTGGCCAGTTACAAAAAATTACCATTGATGTGAAATGCATTGAAATTTCTTTTTTTTTTTATCCCTTTGTTCTTTGTGTAGGGACTATTTACTAGCAACTTAAGTCATAATTAAGTCATAATAAGAGCTGAGCTGGGGCGAAAAGTTTGAACATCTAATTTAGTACCTAGTTTTTTATTCTGTGGGTTCTTTGGATATGAGCCTTTGCTTTTAATATTTGATGCTTAAGATAGTATTACATACATAATATGTATACAATAGCATGCATATTGTATATGTAATAGTGCTCATAATAGTATATAGAATAAGACATTAAGATACAGAGCTTTATTTCTAGAGGATTAGAAAGATTAATGATTTAGAAATGTGACATGCTAGACTTTATTCTAGGTCTTTAATATTTTTCATCCCAGGCAGCCCCAAGAAGATTTGGTTCATCTCAACAAACATTTATTAAGTGCCCGGTATATACACTGTACTAGAGATGCAAAGACAAAAACAAAGCAACAAAACCATCCGTGCCCTCAAAGAGCTTACGTTCTGCTGAGGAGTGCCGGGGTGGAGTTGGGAGAGATGTAGAACATTACAAATACGAATAGTGCAAAGAGAATTCAGGAGTGTGCAAACCAATAACTGGGATGGATCGTTGATCACAAAGTGGCCTCCAAGTTGAACCTTGAAAAAGAGGATGAGGAGGGAATCTGTGAGGTGGAGAGGAGTAGGGAGTGCAGTCTGGGCGTGGAGAGTAGTTTGTGCAAAGGCCCAGAGGTGGGAGACCAGATGGAGAGTGCAGTGAACAGCTTGTCATTCAGTTGAACTGGAACCAGGGTTCAAGAAGCACCACCTATTAAGAAGCCTGTCCTCCTTGGTCTTCCCCCACCTCTGCCCTAGGTGTAAGTGCTCTTCCCTCTTCACTGACTTTATATCTATTTTGTACTTAATTTTCTACATAACTTCTAATAGAATGTAAGCTCCATGAGGGCAGGGGTTGTTTCTTTGGTCCTTTTTATCCCCAGTGCCTACCATAATACCTGGCACAGAGTAGGTGCTTAATCCATTCTTGGGAATGGTATACAATGAGGCTGAAAAGGTAGACTCCTTTGACTTGTCAGGTGTCATCCTGATACAGATATAGAACTTTCCATATTGTCTAGAATATAGACAACATTTTGCAAAGGAAACAGAGATTTAGCTCATTTGGGGAAGACTTTACTGAAGGTCATAGTTTTGATGATTGAAAATGAAAAAAGTGTTAAATGGTTAACATTGAATGGCTGGTCAGGATCAGGATTGCAGGAGTTAGGGCTAAAAGAAGCACAGTGATGAAGCAGGTTTTTGAGGCAGGACAGGCTTTTTTGTACTTTTCACCTCTGACTTCCTTAATTCCATTGGGTTTTGCACTTTCATACCCACTTTGGAACACTTTTCTGGGTTGCCATATTGGCTTAGGATACCAGGCCCATAACAGTTGTCTTATTTTATCCTTTACAAGGATAAGAAAGGTGGATAAAAGCGTCATTGGGTCAGGCTGCTTCCTACTGTCATTATCTGCCTTTTTTCCCCCACAGGAAGAGGATGTTCTTGTTTTTGTAGTTTTGTCACTGGGAATTTTGAAAGCATGTGAAACTGCCTCCAGGAATGTTCTGTAGTGAAACTAATGTCCTTGTTTGTTTTCAGTGGTCAGTGCTGTTCCTTTACAGTCTAAAGATTCTGCCAACAGAAAGCCTTTAACCAAAAGTCAACCCTGTTTGGCACCTCTTAACCCTTTGGACACTACTTCCCCCAAAATTAAAAGAGGAAAAGAGAAAGAAATTGCAAAACTTAAACGACCCACAGCACTTAAAAAGGTAAACCAAAACTTAATTTTTTTTTGGTCTAGACCTGTGGTTTCATCAGTGTAGAGGGCTCCCAGTATCCCAGTAGTTAGCAGCTTACCTTTCCCTTAGAGAGTTACCCAGAGTTTTGAGCAGTTAAGTGATTTCAGCCTTTGGTTACCTGCTAATATGAGGCAGAAGCCAAACCTGAACTCTGGGATTCCTGACTCCAAGGCCAGCCTTCTATCAGGCCATGTTGCTTCTCAAACTAATCCTCAGGAATATTGATAGTATATATACATGTGGGCTAAATTACCAGTGGTAGTAGTATTTTCAACTCCTTTTTGGATTTTTCCTTAGATGTTTGCTTCCATGTGTTGGCTGTTTGATTTGGGATTGAAGAAAATTATTATAGCTCACTTTAATCCTATGGGAGTAAAAGCCTGGAAAGTTGGTTCTACTTTCTTAAAGATTAAATAAATGGTAGAATACTAAGCATTCAAAAAGAACCTAAGCTCTCTGCTATAGTATAATGAATTCTGGTATAAAACTAATCCTATTTATAGAATATTTGTGCTAATATTTCATATCCAAATATTAATTAGAAATAATCTGCCACAGCTGGGATGTACATTCAGTTATGGAAATTTCATATGTATGATTCTTGAGGCCCTTAATATTTTAAGAATGCCATATGATATGCAACCTTTTCTGACCAATATCGATTTGAAATTGTCAAACACATTTTAAACTGTAGTTCCAAGTCCTTGTTTAGACTTCTGTATTAAAATAATTTGAAAGTGCAATTTTTTTTTGTTTCAATTAGCAGTCAGTGTTTTAACTTCATGCCTTCTTTGAAGTATATGTAATTTATAAGTCTAAATCTCCAGTGCAGTGCTATATCATAAATTCATAGAATCTTGAAGTTAGAGGGGACCAAAGAGGTCACCATTTAGCTTAGCTTCTCAACCGATGAAGGAATCACTTACATAACACCTCCATTAGGTGCTTATCTAACTTCTACATGAGTACTTCTTGTAGTAGACTGTTCAAGTAGTTTGTTCTGTTGTTGGACAAATCTAATTGTACCAAATATCTGAAATTTGCCTCCCTCTAAATTGTTCTCAAAAGTTCAGATTCAGTTCTCTGATGCATGTATAATCAAGTCTAAGCCCTCTTCCAGGTGATTTCCTCCCAAGTATTTGAAGGCAGCTATCAGTTCTGAGAAGCAATGGGTGATTGTAGATTGAAAGCTGGCCTTGAAACTAGGAAGACTCTAGTCTCACTTCTTTCATCCATACTGGCTCTGTAACCCCAGGCAAGATGTTTTACTTCTCAGAGTTCTAAGCATCTCTCTGAGGCTGTAAATTGCAGAGAAGGTACAAACCAGCATTGGTAAAGGGAGTTCCCCTGGACCAGTGAACTCACAGTTCTAGTCACTATCCTGTCATAATCTTAAGATTTTTGTTATTCAAGCTAAACAGTATTCAATGAACATTGGACCTGAAATTAGATTACTCTTAGATTGGGTTCTAGTCTCACTTATGCAATTTAGCAGTTATGTAATTATGGCCAATCATGTGACCTTTCTGAAAATAATATTGCTGATCTATAAAATGAGACAAATTGTGACTGCCCAGTGTACTTTAAAGTATGATTATTTGAATAAAAACACTTTATAATCCCAAAAAAACAAATTGCCTTACATGTGTAAAATGTTATTATTCAATCTTCCTCACATGAAGTGGTTTTCTTACCACTTATTGTCATGGTCATTCTCCTGTGAGCATTTTCCAGTATGTCAGTATCTTTTTTAAAATATGATTCCCAGAACTGATCACTGGACTTTGAAATATAATCTAACCAGTAGAGATGTACTTCTTTTAATTTAGCTAAGGATTTTGTTTGCTTTTCCAGTAACCATATTGTGTTTCTGTTTCTTAATGAGTTTATGGTCAACTAAAACACCCAGGTCTGTTTCATATGAACTGTTATATTGTCAAGCTGAGTCTTTTCCATTCTGTACTTTTAAATAGTGTACTTATTAGGCACTAGATACAAATTTGTTTGATTAGTAACTGAAGACTGATATTTGCTTTTAGGTTATTCTGAAAGAGAGAGAGGAAAAGAAAGGGCGTTTCACTGTAGACCGTAGTCTTCTGGGATCTGAGGAGCCAATAGAGATGCCTTTAGATTTTATTGATGATTTGCCACAGGAGATTGCCTCCCAGGAAGGTAAAGAGTTTGACTTTTTCCTTTTTTTTTTAATGGAATTGTTCGGAGTACATTAGTAATTTATAGAGAAAGAGACCATGTATAGGTGTTTAGTGGAGGCTAATTAGAGCATGTGCCATGTTGGAGCTTCACATTTATTTACTTTTGATAGTGATTTCTTTGAGAATGTGTATGATCTTTGATCCTTCTCTACCATACTGGCATACTTTCCGTAATTCTGACAAATTACTCCTAATGATGGTTCATCTTCCATACATCTTATCAGGATTATCCTTTATACCTGATTTCGCCATTCTCCTTTGAGAAGTTCTTAGGCACATTAATTTATTCAACATTTCAACAAATATTGAGAGTTCCTGTGATATATTATTTAAAGACTTTGAGCTTTAGTTTCCTCATCTGTAAGACTGAGGAGGGGGATAATGTCTAGCTTGGGGTCATTTTGTTGTTTGTTTGTTGTTGATTTTTTTTTGGGTGGGCGGGTCTGGATCTGTGATTTCATTGGTATAGGAAATTCACTTTATTAATGCTATTTAGCTACTGTTCTACAACTTAGAGTCTTAGATAATTGCCTGAAGCACCAAGAACTACCATGATTTGCTTAGTAGTATGTGTCAGAGGCAGGACTGGAATCTAGGTCTGCCTGACTGAGGCCAGCTCTCTATCTAATTTGCCATGTGGCCTCTTTTGCTTAAAGTTATTAGGCTTTAATGAGGTAACATAGGTGAAAGCACTTTGAAATTTTTCTGTACTAAGAAGATTTACAATATTATTAAAATATCATGCTAAATGCTGTGGAAAAATAAATGTGTAAGACATGATCCCTATCCTCTAAAGATACTAGAATTTATTAGGAAAGATGAGAAGATGCTATAAAACATTGCTGTAGGATTGGTACAAACAAAGGAGGGAAAAGTTGTGTCTTATTTTATGGAGAAGGTAGTGTTTGATTTAAGCCTTGATGGATAAGTAGGTTATCAGTAGAACTGAGGGAATATGTAGAAATATGTAAAATTATACTGGGTTTTTAGTCTCTGCCCTTGATTTTATATATATCTAGAGAAAGAAATACTGACGACAAAATTTAGCTGAATTCAACGTGTTTTTAAGTGCAAATGGGTGTTTCATATCTAAAGATGAAGAAACACATAGCCCCTACCTATGATGATAGTGGGAGTAATATGACATATGTGTATGAAATATAAACAAAAAAAGGATACACACGTGATATTATATGTATACACACACATCACCACCAGATTAGCTACATTAGAGTAATTGGGTCAGCGAACTGTAGTCCATGTGCTAAATCTGGCCTGCCACCTATTGTTGTATGACCCACATGCCAACAGTGTTTTTTACATTTTTAAATAAAGTTTTATTTACTTTTTGCTGTGTTTCAGTTGTTTAATGGTTGTAGCCATCTGATTAGTCTTCTTTTTCCAAGTGACTTTTTAATTTGCTTTTTTGTTTAGCCCTCGAATCTGAACTTTGCAGCTTAAATAAAGCTTATACTTTAATTTTAAGTAAAATTATGTATAAAAATGTAAAAACTATTTTTTTCTTGTGGGCTATACCAAAACAGATGGCAGGCTGGGTTTGGCCTATGGGCCATAGGTTGCTGAACCTTGCGTTAAAGAGTGACTAGAGTGTTGGAAAAAGAAGAGCAATAGAAATGCCCGGAAATTTCTAGGAAACAAAAACATATAGTGTCAAATGTCTGTGCACAAAGTAAGCAGCAAGGTGAATTTGAGATCCTGTGGGATACCACTTCTGGCTATAATGTAGCTCTACAAGGACCTTATTTAAAAGGAGACAGGAGATGTAAAAACAAGGGTGGGGATGGAGAGGGGTGGAGTAAATCCAGGAGTTAGATGGGGGAAACATACTGGAAAACATTTGAGTGATGATCCCTGGAGGCAGAAACAGAAGTAATATTCTTATTGGAGGACCCGAAAGATGAAAATAACTTAGAAATTGAATAAATATCATAAGTCTGGTATGATATGATAGTGATGAAGGATTTCCATTATTTAACATCTGTGAGAACATTTCCTTTCTGCCAGAAGTAGAGTAGCTAATAGTCTCTCAACCTGATTTAATGATAATTTCATCTTTCAAAAGGCAAGGGAAACAAAGTAAGGAAATCATATTCTGGATTTGATCCTCAACAGCAGCAAAGAACTGGTTGATGGAGTAGAAATGATGGGAAACTTAGATGAAGTATCATAGAAATTCCAGCATAGAATTTTTGATAAAGAGAAAGGGTAAGGCTGGAAATAGTTTGACATATATCCAAGTTTTGGGGAGAGCAGGTTTCAGATTGTTGAAGAAAGGATAAATAGGCTTTCATGGCTTAATCTTCTGCTGTGGGAGTCAGCCCAGGAGTGATGGGAAACACTCAGGAATGAATTTCTGAAGATAATTACATTGAGAAACCATTCTAATAAAGAGTAGAAAAGAGGATTCTCCAAAAAGGCTTACCAGTTTTATAAAGAGGGAACTCAGCACAACTTAAATTTTTTAAAGACAAGTACAGAAGAAAAAAGCAAGTGCAGGTAACAGGACAGACCTATAGAAATAGGATTAGGAATATTAGGGTTTGCACTAGAGTTGGCACTGATTGCCAGGTGTAACAAAAAAAGGATCAGTGTCTTTTGTTTTTTGTTTTACTGGGAGAAAAATAAGAGAACCAAATAAGCGATATGACTACTGCTCTGGGTTAGGATGAAATTCAAGGACAGTTGTGAAGAGCATCTCTTGCTTGTCTTTCCTCTGCTAAGGAGAATGTTCTTTGGCCTGAGAGGGATAAAAGTGGTTAATAGGGAATTGATGCCAGATATAGGGATGAAAATAATAAGAGAGGACCTAGCAGTCTTTGAGTTTGTCACCTGGCCCAGATAAAACTGTGTCCTTGGGTACTGAAAGGACTGGTAGATATTATCACTAAGCCACTGCCAGTGACCTCGCAAAGATCACAGGAAACTGGAGAAATACTGCAAGTTTACAGAAGGGCAAATAGTGTTCTAATTTTCAAAAAAAAGAATAGAACCAGATATCTAAACTAAAACCTTCTAAATTTAACTTTAAATTTTTGCAAGCATCTTCAGCATATTATTAAAGGAATAGTTTGTAAACATTTAGAAAAGGATACGGTCATCACAGAGAGTTAGCAAGGCTTTATCAAGAATAACACATACCAGACCTGACTGACTTCAGTTGTGTGTTTTACAGTGTCACTGAACTGGTCAGTCAAGGAAGTACTGTAGCATTGTTTACTTAGATTTTACGAAAGCATTTGACAAAGTCTTTCAAGTTATTCTTATTGAAAAAGATAGATAGGAAGGTAACGGCTAGTCAGAAATTAACTAGTTTGGAAACTGTTGAACACCTGATTCCAAAATGTCCTCATTAATGACAATGTTAATAATGATAATAGTTGACATTCTATAGTACTTCAAAATTTGCAAAGCTCTTTACAGACTTAATTCCATTTAAACCATACAGCAATCCTGTAAGGTAGATATTATTATTACCCATATTTCACAGATGAGGACACTGAGTCTTACAGAAGTTAAATGACTTGACCATAGTCATACATATGTGTGATTTGAACTTAAGTTTCTGGTTGGAATTCTACCCAGTACACCATGCTTTTTCAGTTAGTTAGCAGGTTTCCAGTGGCATGCCCTAGGGATCTTGCTTAGTCATATTCTGTTTAAAATTGTGTTCACTGACTTGGGATAAAGACAGAGAGAACAAATTTGCAAATAACTAACATATGTGATAAAATCCATGATCTTGGGGCAGGTGGGTGGCACAGTGGATAGAGCACCGGCCCTGGATTCAGGAGGACCTGAGTTCAAATTCGGCCTCAAACACATAACACTTACTAGTTGTGTGACTCTGGGCAAGTCACTTAACCCTATTGCCTAGCCAAAAAAAAAAAAAAAAAATTCATGATCTTGACATATTTAAACGTTGGGCCAGATCAGATAAGGTGAAATTTAGTAGGGATAAGTATAAAATCTTACACTTCGGTTTAAAAAGTCAGTTTCACAAGTACAAGATTGAAGAAATAGCATGACTAGATAGTAGTTCATCTGAAGAAGTTCTGGAGGACTTGATGTACTGCAAACAGCACAAAAGACCATGTGATATAGGAGCTAAGAAAAGTAATGCAGTCTTAGGTAGCACCAAGAAAGGGCTGGCATTAGGGAGGTGATAGTGCCACTGTAATTTGCCCTGGTCAGACCTTATCAAGAATGTTGTACTCCGTTCTGGGTGCCCTGTTTATCTTTAAGCTAGATAAATCTTAAAAAGGCTGGTCCAGAACAGTGAATGGTTTTAGATTGTGAATGAATCCACAGAAAGCACTTATGAAACACTATGCATCAGGCATTGTGCTAGTTTAGCACTAGATAAGCAGTTATAAACACTGAGACAGTCCCTTTCCTCAAGGAACATTCTAATAGAGGGAAACAATATATAAGGAAATGGTAGCCGAGAAGGCAGGTTTTGGTCTGGTGAATCATAGGGATGGTGAGTTGACCCATAGGACAATCAGTTGACACATTGATTCCTGAAGAAATGGTAGTATTAATTGATTACTGTGCTTAGAGCAACAGGTGGAAAACTGGTGGGGTTTGAGTTGGGGGTACATGTGCAGTAACAGGACAGATGATAAAATGGCCTGGTTGGATGGCTGAATGGGATGTAAGGCATAGTCATTATGCTGCCCAAAGATTAGTTGAAGGAATTGAGGCTATTTAGTCTGAAGAAGAGAAAACCAAGGAGGGATATGATAGTTGTTTTCACTTATGTGAAGGGTTGTGACGTAGAAGAGGGATTATATTGACCTTCTGGATCCCATGAAGTACAAATAGGAACAATGAATGAAAGTTGTAAAGGGACACATTTAGGCTTGATGTAAACAAAAACTTCTACCAGTTAGATTTATCTAAAAGTGGACGGGATTACCTCAAGGGTTAATGGATTCC